CAGTCCGCATTGCCAGGGCATTCTACGACCTACAGACACCAGCCGTCGTCTACAACACCTGGAGTCCGAGCGAATTGGTTGTTCAGACAACAATTCACAAGGTTGATAAGCCAGATGACGACGTCGTTGACGTCCCGATCGGTCGGCCACTTCCTAACTGCCGCCATTATATAGTTGATGCGGTTCTCAATCCGCTCCCGGCGGGATTCGTCGGCGAGATCTGCGTTGGAGGCGCCCAAGTGGGCTTGGAATATCTAAATCGGCCGTTGGCCAATGCAACCTCTTTTGTGAGAGATCTCAGTTCCATCCCAGAAGATCAAGCAAGAGGTTGGAAGAAGATGTTCAGGACAGGTGACAAGGGATCGTTTCTGCCAAATGGGCTTCTCACCTTCAAGGGTCGAATTGCTGGGGACAAACAGATCAAGCTTCGCGGATTCCGGATCGACTTAGGGGAGGTGGAGCAGGTACTCTACAAGAATGCATCAACACCAGATGGCCAGGGCATCGTGGATATTTCAGTCATCGCTCGAGATTCCGAGGAGAGCGATGCGACGTCTCCCCTGACTGACGAGAGGCGACTTATCGCTTTTGTCATCCCTAAGAAACCGCTTCAGTCAACCCAGGAACGGGATGATTATGCTAACTACCTCCACCGTATGGCACAGGCCTCTTTGAATCAGTACATGTGTCCAAACGGCTACCAGTTTCTCGAGAGGTTGCCCATGACTATCGGCGGAAAGGTGGACCGTCGCAGTTTACTGACTATGAAACTGGACTTAGCGCAACACACGACCACTTACAATGACAGTAGGCCAGTGACAGAGGTTGCTGGCGATTATGCAGAAATCCTGCAAGGCGTCACCGGACAGGTGTGTAGCCTGTTGGGCATTGACAGGTCAATTGCCCCGAATGACAACTTTTTCGAACTGGGTGGCCAAAGCATTTTACTTCTGCGACTGCAGTCGCGGCTCAAGAAGAAGTTCAAAGTCACGCTGAAGTTGCAGGAGCTCATACATGCTCCCACGCCTTTAGCTATTGCTGGACTGATTCAAAAGCAGCTTAAGGGGCCCGCGGGTGTTCAAAATGAAAGTGCTTCGAAGAGCATCGATTGGTCGGAAGAAATTTCGTTACCTGCTTCACTCATGAACACCGACTATAGCCAGCTTTCTCGCTTCCCGCGTACCGATGTGAGCAGTATACTGGTTACTGGTATTGACACCTTCATTGGCCTTCACATGTTGGCCACTATCCTTTCGAACAACCACAATGCGACAGTTTACGTCATTGGAATCCATGATGAATTGACTGTGGACCACCTGGTTGAAGGATTGACTAAGTACAAGTTGCTGGATGCTCACCTTTCTACTCAAGATGTTCTTTCGCGGACTCGCGCCGTTCCGGGGAAGATGACTTCACCTCGTTTTGGACTCGCAGAAGACGCCTTCAGAAGCCTGGCGGACACGGTTCGAGTGATTTTTAACATTGCAGCGGATGTTTCGCTCCTCAAGACATATGTCAACCTGAAACCCGTGAATACCAGCGCCATTCTGACACTCATCGAGCTGGCTACGAGCAGCCATGGCCACCTACTAGAAATCCACCATCTATCAACATGGAGTGTGCCCCATCTGCAAACCTGGAAGAAAACCTCCCGGACACGAGCATTCGCCAGCAACAGGGAAGAGGACCCCAGCCATTTCACACCGCCTAGAGCCGACGAATACGGATATTTTAAATCTCGCTGGGCTGCGGAAATGTACCTCACCCAAGCTGCCGCTCGTGGTGTACCCGTGTCCATTTACCGTGCTTCCTCCGTCTCTGGCAGCCGAGCCACAAACGTCCCAGTCCCCGAAATGGACTTTATCAGCAACATGATCATGCACATGATCCAGCACCGGGCTATCCCTGAAATCAGTTCCAACAGCCTCATTGATGAGGCTGGTGATTTTGTCGTGGATTTTCTTCCTGTTGACGCCTTGACATCTTCGATGTACACTCTGGCGTCTGAAGAGAGTGCCGCAGCTCCTGGGTTGCAGGTGTACCATTTGGGCAGCTCACAGCCTCTCCCTCTTCAGGCCTTAGTCGATGTGATACCATCGTTGGATCAGTCGGTTGAGGCTGGCAAATGTCGCGTCGTCCCGATGCAGGAATGGCTGCGACTTGTGTCTGAGGGAGCTAGCGAAGAGGAACAACTGCATTGGATGGTCGTCAAGAAGTATTTCCAACATGGCCATTCCATGTTCGCGTTGGATAAGTCGCATACTGTGGCTGCTTTGAAAATGGCGGGCAAGGAGGTGGAGTTCCCGGCTATTGATGTGGACTACTTAAAGAGGCTGCTGGACGAGCGGGGTCCGGGATTGAAGCAGTAATCTTGCTGTCAAACACGGACTCTGCCAAAATAGCATGATACCTAGCACCTAGCTTGTTAAACTGATGGATGGGAATTGACACTTGAATCCTCTAATAATCCAGATCCAGCCTATCAACACCATACCGTAAATATATTTACCCATAACTATTCACATTTTTAACCCATTGCAATCCCAAATATGAAAAGCTTCATGAACTCATAATTCGGATGTTCTAGTATCCTACCAACTGAATGACTCCACCACAAATTGGCCTTGTATGGGCATATGGCTAATCTAGTCCTCGTAGGGGTAATCTAGTTTCCTCTTTGGGCCACCACATTGCGAACCGGTTGGTCTGGTCGGATCTGTGAGGTGCGCACGGGGTCCGCGCTTCGGTGTAAGCGGACCCATACGACATACAAAGTGGAGAAGGCGACTCACTCCCGTTCCTCTGGAACCCACTGTTTTCTTGGGATGGGACTTATATAAGATCATAGTCTCAGAGCTCGAAATTCTTCATCTTGATAGAAGTTTTCAAACCGGCCATAACCCAACAATTCTTTTCTATACCGATTGAACATTCGTTTCCAGATGTCTCTTGTCTTTCAAACTATGGCCTTCAACCGTATTGCTATCTATGGTCACCGTGGATTCATGGGCTCTCGAGTTGTTCCTGCTCTAATTGCCTCAGGAGCACCAATTACTGTTTTATATCGCTCTACCTCGGATACCTCCAATCTCCCCGAACATGTCAGAAAGATTGAAGTTGACGTTTTTGATGAAGACGCTTTGGTTGATGCCTTGCAAAATATAGACATTGTGCTGTCAGTCAGAGTTACTGCGCATCTGTACCTTTTCGATTCTCAGCTCTCTGGTTGGAGACGAGGGTACCGACAGACAGTATGGTTTTGTGAAAGCCATCCCTAAGACTAATGTCCGGCTTTTCGTCCCTTCGGATTTTTGTCTGCGATATTGCGAGCAGGGAATGCGCATGCCCTGTATGACGGCAAAAGCGAAACCCGAAAAGGCTTCTAAGGATGCTGGGATCCCAACCTCCGTCGTCCACATAGGAAATTTCGCTAAATTCACCTTAAGTACACCGTCAGTCATCAACCGTGCACTCGGGATACTTATATCCCTAACTGACTCTTTTTCACAAATTATAGGGCAGTGGGTGTTGATTTGCAGAATAACACATTGGTCTACACCGGCAACTCTGCTAGCGAGAAAGTCACTAATTAGTAATCTCCTACAAAGCAATCAGTATTTTATAAATATCAGAAAGGAGTAAAACTGCTATCAATGATCTCACGACTCCTATAACCACTATAATGTGTCATCCCGATGGCTTTTCTCCTGATAGCTAGGTTATTCTATCACAGGGCTCCGGCCTACCTGCATGGTGTAGAACCGGGGTGGGCCGCCATGAGGATGATTCCAAGGTAGTATTCAAAATAGAGTTAGAGTGTTGGTGTTACAAGGACCATAAAAGCAGCATTGTGACAACCATAAAAGAGGCAGCTCTTTCACTGAAGTGTTGCTTTGTCATTAAAATATTTATTAGGATAACACTTATTACTGTAATATACATTTTGTAATATTATTAGACTTAATCAAATTTAAAATTTATAGAAAAGAATACTAACCTGATTTCAATTTTTATTATATATCTTAATCTAATTGAATTTCTGTTACATGTACTAATTAAATTTAAAAGTTAATATTATTATTTTTAAATATTTATAACTCCACCGAATCATGAAGTAAAAGAATAAAAATTATACTACTGTATTCTGTGTTTCAAGTACTATTTAAATGATACTAGTTTTGAACTTATCAGACATCATTTCACTGTTGTCCCGTTGTGAAGATTTCCCTCCTAGAAACCACCCTGTCTACTCTGGATCCTTCCCTGGCTTCTTTTCCAGAGTTTCCGAAGTCGCACGCCAAGAGGGCGACAGAAGACAACCTAGGCGCTGATTTTCTGAATTAAACCAGTTTACAATACCGCAACGAAACCGACCCATTTGAGCAGTTCGGGGCAGTCATGGCAGTTGTGCGGGGCACGGTAGAGGGTTGTGGTCTGTGCAGTGATTGCTGGCCTTCCACGAGTGAAGGAATCCCCACAGCAGTCGCCTTTCTCCTTTCTCTATTTGACAAGCAAGGCCCGTAAGTGCATAGAAGGACTGGTGCGGCTGGGAGGCTTACGGTCAGACGAAGCGAGAACTCCGGTGGGGGGTTAGCGGTCTACTTACCTGCAGTCTCTGATTACCCCTAGTCCTCCCTTGCCCGCAGTCTTCCTGTCGAGTACCACGGTGGCTGTGTTGAGTATTAAGGTGGCTGAATTTTATGGCAGGGATTGGGAACAGATATATATATATATGCTATCCCGCCCGAACATATGGGAAAAAGAGTGAATGATGGTCAATTAGAGCTAGCTAGCTTAGTACTTAGAACAATCATTCAACAACAGATTATCCGGAATAAAGGAGCGACATCACAAACGGCAAACATTAAACGCAATCACTCAAACTGTACAAAAGTTGTCTTGGTACAGTCAAACATAGACTCTCATGTGAGATATCTATATGATATACTCCATGCCACACACATGTCTGCACATATACTAAGCCTTCTGAAGGCTCATGTTTAATTGGATGAGAGACAGTCATCCGGCTTCATTCCATTTGCACTTTCAAACAAACTAATCTCGAACTTCAAGGCCTGGCGGAAGACTGCGTTCCAAATCTTTCTGTTAATAGGGGAATCATATTGGTCGTGGTACCAGTTCAGAGTAGCTGGTATCAAGATTAGCAAGTTGCATTTCAATCAAGTCATAATACAGTAGGGTGATGGAAAAGTACCTTCCAGTTCATCGGCATAGGAGGTGCTATTATTTTCACTGATCCAGTAGTTATAAAACAAGATTCCTAGTATTTGTCAGCAACAGTATATGAAGGAAGATAGTACAGAGGACTATACCAGTCAATGTTTGGTCGTTGTTTTGCAAGCTTTGTGCAAGACGTGGCCATCCCTTCATACAATTATTAGCAGGAAAGAATTTCATCATATAGGTTCTCGCTCTCTTACCCAAATGCACGGAATAATCATCACATTCATGGTATACCAATCCAGCTGACTGTTTCTCTGCAGCCAGTTTGCGTACCCAGCTTCAGCAGAGTTTCGCTCGCAGTTATCAATGGTATCGGCGGGTATTTTAAGGTCATCGATCATCTCACGTTTGAAATCTTTAGTGTAATCCACATATTCTTCAATCGATAACGCCTGTTTTCCAACAACCGATAAGAGGTCACTGGTGTTGACGATGGGGAACGATCCCATTTTGATAGACTTGTACTGGGTGTAGTCAATCAGATAATGGTAGTCTTGCTGAACAGCTGTTAGCTAATGGAGGAAATCTTTGAGATACAGTACACACAAGGGAGTAGAAGCGAAATGTATCATCATTGGTATTGCTGGTGGTCGTGGCCTGGGTTCAAACGAAGGAGTTGTTCATGAATCTGTCGACAAGGTCTGGGTTGTTATCCCAGAGATATTGGGGTAGGCTGGATGCCCCGGCCTGCCTGGCATTGAGGGAACGAGTAGATTCAGGCCAAGTGTCTCGTATCTCCTTGCCCAGTGCATGGGCTCTGCTGTAGAGGGACTGCTCATTGTCTCTGGCATGGAGAGAAGAGATGTGCACTGCCATGCTCTGGACGCACACAGCGAGCAAGGAGAGTGACGTGAGAGACTTGACGAATGATAGTACCATTCTGATTGCTGTATGAAAAAAGTTGAATGAGGAGTTTGTACCTATTATAGAAGAAGTACTTGAGTCATTAGTAAATTCTATGAAAATGAGGGTAGATTTAGATCTATTTATGTTTCTCCAGGAGACGGCTTCAGTCAGCTGGCTTCGAGGACGGATATATATAGTGTTATAGTTGGAGTCGTCTGGTAGTTGTCCTTTCCCTGCCAAATCGATGTCATCTAATGATTCGAGTCAATGATCTTGGTAATGAATATCGGGATTTGAAACCTGATAATCTTCTCTATCCTACTCCTATATCAGGAAATCATATTAGTCTTGGTGACGATTCCTGGTTTGAGTCTGGGGGAAGTATCTATAGGGATGTTATTCTTGGGTTACATCGCCTCCTCATAGCCGTTCCAGTTTCAATCCCCGAGAAGTAAATCCCAGGTTAAGTGTGTTGTGGAGACCCATTTCAGTCTATACGATATGGAATGTCGGCTTTTGGGTGTGATAAGAGGTTGGGGCGGCTGATTTCAGCTAGTAATGACTCAAGTCGCTGCTCATCGAGTCATATTAATAATGAGGTAGGGCGCCTCGGGCTTAGCTGCCACTTTCTTTAGTATTATACCTAGATAGCCATGGTAGGATCAAAACGAATACACTCTAGATAAACGCTGTTATTCTTAATGTAGGTATCCCATTGCGCCTGGCCAGTCAGAAATTGCCCACAGTCAACACTGCTGCAGCCGGATCACAACGGGTGCTAGCCAATAGGATGTTATTACGAACAACTTAAGTGACGAGGGATATAAATAAGGTAAAGTTACTTATGCTAGCCAGTGGCCTTCTGAGGCTGTACAGAATCTTATATGACTTTGAGATCGCCTTCTTGATTAGGTTGTCCGATTAGAAGTAGAGAACGCTATCCGGTACAAGACTAAAGAGGATAAAGTACAAACCCTCAGCTGCGAAATATTTAGCTGGCCTGAGTGGCTGCTCAGTATTTTATCTAATGCGACGGCGGGATGAATTCCTCCACAATCACTGAGTGGAGTGTGGGTCTTAAATATTGTGAACCAGAGTTGCTTACTAGATAATTGGTAAATTATCCCGCGCCTAGATCCAGCTGCTATATCCTTTGTTTACTAAACAAAAAATTAGTGCTGGACTAAGCTCCTCCGTCCGAATCAGATCAACGCGATTAGCCCATTAATATCTCTAGTACTAACAGAGCAAATACGGCTCACAGCTGGCAATGTGAGAGTGGCGTAGCAACATGCGCATATTTTCTTAAATGGTAATATTATATCTGCTGACAATGAGGAAGGTAGGCATTGTGAAGGGAATTCATGTGGGCCCCTGTGGTCATTTAAGGTTTTCCGTTGGTGCACAGATGATCGCTATGATCTTTCGGATTCTATACTACTCAGATTGGCCGCATCTTAGTGTGGTGCCATGACTCGCAGAAAAACTTAATGTATTTGATATGCCAGACGCCGAGATGATTAGATTTCTTGGCAATTCAAGGCTGAAATACCTGTGCGTCCAATACCTAAGATCAAGGACAAATCAGTAAATAAACTGTATTCTGGGCTGGCTAAGATTTCCGTCCAGCGGTCTCTGTATTATTAAAATTAATTTAAAGCTGAAGTTGATTTATATTAATCGCGCACACCACCATTGGCACCTCACTAGTGGCTATAGCTGGTTGTACCAAATTTGCTACTACATGAATGCACTGTTCTTAGGAGCCTAAAGAGGGATGATATACACTGTAATATTAATACAAGCTGAAAGCTATGGTTCTTTCCTTGGCATGAAAGTTAAGTATTTTGGTTAGTACAGCCCTGCTATAGTTCTCTGTCTATTAAAGAAAATACGGGTATTAGTCACACCACAAAAACTGCTTCTAGATTTTAAGTTTTTTAAATGATATAGAGTCAGCTTCTAGCAGTTTAGTACTAGTTTTATTATACTTTGATCTATGTTTGTTGACTTCATATCGGCCTTTGAAGTTGGTTAGAAGATAATCTGATAATAGAGTGGTTAATTGTTACAGAATACCGTCGGACTGCGCCGAAGGGATATCAGGCTGATGACTATTGAAGGACAACTGGTCTTGAATAAGAGAAGAGAAGTAAGGCCAGATAATGCCGCGCATTTATCTGTAAGTAAGTGCGGACGAGGGTTATTGCTAAGCTTTCAAACATATGGTTACTTAAAGACGATATGATTAACCATGATGAATAGAACTATCTAAGTACATGAACCGGTGTCCTTTATATCCTATCCTCCGTATGCCAATCCGTATACTATCTGAATTATATCAATGGTCGATTTAATCACAGTCTGGTACGCTGATATACCTCGTGTATACCTTCAGTAGTATCTTAGATGGTAGCTAATCACCTGATCCGTGGCCGTGCCGGGCGTTGTTGTAGTAATCCGCAGTTCTTCTAAATAATAGTTTTGATTTTGCCTGAGTGCTGCTCTTATCGGCGCTTTTTGCCTGGCGAGTCCGCCTTACTAGTAGGTTAACTAGCAGGGGTCTGTAATAATTGTGTGTATGTATCTGTGTTGCTTTTTGTTAAGTATAATATAATACGGATGGTTGCTTGATGAACTGATTGGATCACGAATAGGTGAGATAGAATTGTATGAATTTGAAATTGTGAGACATTTTGGTCATGAATGTAGTAATTCAGACTAGTATAAATCTTAGAACAGAACCTATCTCTTCTTCTTCTCCATAATCTTCCCAGTGAGAATAAAATCCCGCGGAATCGCTAATCCCTTTGTCTTCCTACCAATCGCAGGATCATCAGCATGAAAAAGATGTTGTTCTGGAAACAAGCTGGGAACAAGAGATTTGTGATGAGGAAATAGTCCAGTGCCTTGAATTCCAGATTGATATTTGGCTGCGGTAGCTCAGCCATGTTATTGACAGGGATGTCAGCAGTATCTCTAAACAATAATCTGCTAATCTAGGTATTATACTCGGCCCTGATGTTTTTTGTCCAAGATTTGTCTTTTTCAAAGTTGAGCTGTAGTATATTGGGATGCTCCTCTTTTCCTCCTGACCAGCTGTTATTTGTGTCCCATGAGAATGTAGCACTCATCGTTCCCCTTCCCTCAGTAGGAAGGGAATGACATGCCTTAGTATAATGATTATGCTACTCAACCGAAATCTCCTCGCTGGTGTACTTGATCTTGACGGCGGTGGTATCACCATCGGTGATTACCGGTGATACGCTGATTTTAGTTGCTGGGGATGAGCTTACTAAACTAATGGTATTACAGGACCAGTGGCGGCTGTCTCCATGAGGCATATATTTGATTTCTTTGATATGTATTTTCTCTGATTGAAGGCTTCCTTCGAGTTGTAATCCAGTTGTGATAATCAGCCAACAGCTATGTTAGTCTTTGAGGAATTTTATTACCTACCTTCCCCCTTTTCTGACTTGATGACAACATCTTTGAAGGATTTATGGTTCTCTAATGCGTGCTAAGCATTCTGGTTGAGTGGGTTGGATGTGAGACTGATGGTGGGAATTGCCTACTTTGAAAAACTGATTGGCCATAATATGATGCAAAAAGATGATACTCGCAGAGTAGTGGTCAGGAATGGGTGATGCCGAGTCATTATCCGGGCTGAAAACTAATTCAGTAGTGTTACTGTTCTTCTGTCCACTGTCATGACCTTCCTTGACAGTAATCCATATTAACAGCGCTCCGGGAATTTTATTGGGGGTATCATCCCTCTGTATTGTGAAGTAAAAGGACTCAGGCTGGAATATAATTATGTTTGGGTTTGTGGCATATTTGGTCAGGCCAGCAATAAAATGCTCTGATGGCAGACTTTTCAGGACTTTGTTGATGCCATCATTGAAGGCTTGTTTGACCGTGGCAGGTAGCTTCTGTGAGAGCTAATTAAATAATCCTATTCGGTGCGTCTAAACTAGAATATCAAACATTAGAGGGGAAAGGAAAGGAGTATAAGAGAATATATGTAAAGAACAAAAATAAGTAAGACAAAGTAAATAGAACAAATAAAATAAGATTATATGTAATAAATAAAATAAGTGAAACTATGTTGTATATCTCAGTTATATTACTTGCTACTGCGGGAAGCCTAAAGGAATCGCATATGCGATGTACCAACCACAGTGGAATAGGAAAGACAGGAGTGTGGAAAAATATGTATAAATAATAAAAATAAGTGAGCGAAGGAAAATAAACAGAATTAATAAAGTAAGTAAAACTATGTTATGTGCCTTAGTCACGTCGCTCGCTATTATAAATTCAGAAATAAATTCTGCTACATTTAGATACTTATAACTACACAGAATAATCAATTAAAGAAATATAAATTATATTGCTGTATTCTGTGTTCAAAGCACTATCAAATGATACCAGTTTTAAACTTATCAAATATCATTTCACTGTTGTTCTGTTATGAAGATTTCCCTACTAGGTTAGACCAGTGAGGGGTAGAGGCAAACAGATTAGTCACTTATTAGTATAGAGTAACACAGGAAAAACAGAAAATAAAATAAAAAGATGACTTCTGTACTTAATCTAATCATTGAACTACAGATACAGGATAAAAGAGATAGGACTCCGAGGCCTAACTTTTCCTGGAGAATCTAACTGTCAAGTAACAGGATATACTAATAAAAGTAGAACTATGGTAAGTTAATGGAGAGGCTGATGTGGACCAAACTTTAGAATTTATTTCTTGAAAAGACAACTGATAAGAGCGACCTGAAGTTATATACCCATGTTATAAATAGACAGCCTAGATACAATCTTGTACTTCTATGATATCAATAGCATGTATTATAATTTAATATATATTATTAGGTGTAGCTTTCGCAGCCATGATATATAAATTATGTTGTGAGACCTCAGTCCTCCTACGTCTTATTATGTGGCACACAAAAGCAAGTCTTTTACTACCACTACTATAGGAATCAAGAATATTTTTAATATATAATATAGATCCGTATGGTCTTTCTTAGAAGTGGGGTCTAGGGCTGATGAGATGACTCAGTCTCATGTGGGCCAGGTGAGCTGCGTCCTCGTTAGTGATAAGATCACGTGATAAAACAGGGAGAGTCAAGGCCTCCCTAGGAGAGGACAAACACGAGCAATAGGGATAATAGTAGGGTATTTTTAAATTCATATTGTTCATCGACACCAACGGCGTGAAGCCTGTTTACACTGGATTTGTAGCTCTAGCAGCTCAGAATACATACTACTTCTGGGCCTTCCTTCGAGAATGGCTACTGCACTTATTTTATTTGAAAAGGCTAGTCTTCATACTCTTCTTGTTAAGATAAAAATAGATTTAGACTACGTGAGAAACAATACAGCATGGCAGAAGGTGCCGAGATCTAATCCCTTTCTCCTTTCTTCCTCCGAGTCTCATTATATTCTAAGGGTCATTTTGCCGATGCATAAGCAATAAAAGAATCAACAAGCGGTGACAGCCAGCCACAGGTATTGCCAGCCAGCCACAACGTGGATCTTAGTATATGCAGGATAATTAGTTTTTCATCTGCTTACATTAACTGCTATTCGCAATACTACCCTCCCACAGTTTTGAGTGGCCCCTTGCATGCTTACCCGTCATCAGCAGGTGTCCACTCAAAATGTGGGAACCACTGGGAGGCCATCATACTGAGCTTCTCTGTTGGGAGGTGAAGGTGAGCTGCAAGGAAACCTCAGCTCATGAAGTTCAAAGCAGTAAAATATCGGTCAGAGCGTGTTGTGCAATGGCTCCTTTCATGATCAGCAATCCCTTATAATAGGACGTTGCGATGCAATAGTAGTTCACCGTGATTACCCGCAACGATGGAGTGCTCCGGAAGTGCCTCGGTTTGTTCTCCCATTGATATCGGGTCAACTGATAACCACACTCACACCTGTCTTCTTTTAGAGCCCCGCGTCGCTACAATTCTCAACTCATGATCCGGCTTGCGACCACTGTCGGTGGAAAAAAATTAGATGTGACCGGGCGCGGCCGCGTTGCGGAGCCTGCCGGCGGGCGTGTGTCGCCTGCGAATACACCTCCAGAGACCGGAAAGTCTTTGCCACTAGTTCGAGCAACTCTAGTGATGAAGGGGCCATCAGCCCTTTCGGTAACCGACTGGCCCAGTTAGAGAGTTCCGTGGAACGCTTGACGCAGATAATCGAGCACCGGCTGGTCAACGAGCCACACTGCCACCAGCCAGACCGACCGGTGCCCCGTCGTACATCGACGCCCCCCTTGATAGAAAACGATCCCCAAGGTCGCGTTCTCTTCACACTTGAAGATGGCCAACGGTTTCTCTACGGACCTTACTCAAATATGGCCAATTGTTTGGGGATTCTACGAATTTTGAGGTCCAGACGACATGACCAGAACGGTGATGTTGACCCCCTGTTGAAGCAGGTATCGGAGTTGTGCAACCTGCTTGGGCCCCAAATATTCAAGGTCTCGCCCTCCGCGGAACCGACCCGGCTCCTGCAGCTGTCACAGCAGGCCGTGATGCAAGCAACCGACAGGTACCTTTCCCAGGGAAGCTATATACAACACTTGTTTCACCCCAGTATCCTGCGTTCCCGAATCCAAATGTATTACCTTGGTACCTTAGGGGTGTCTGAAAGTGGTATGAAACTATGCCTGCAGTACCTCATGCTACAAAGCAACACGCAAAGTAAGGAAAATGGCTCCGATAGCCGTGATCACGGCCTAGCGCAGGCGAATTGCGACGCCTTCTGTGCCACCGCCAGGGTAGCGTTGGTGCAGGGTCAGCTGCAAGCAACCACGCTCCTCAATGTTCAAGCTTTGGCATGCATTGTGAGTGACTTCCGTCGGGGGAACGTAGCCTGAATTCTGAACCACACGTCATCGGGGCTGGTCGTGGAAGTAAGTAACAAACTAACTGGAGCGGACAGACAATCATCGCTTTACAGGCAGAAGACCTTCTACTGGCCGATGAAGTCTTTCATGGATGTTGTGCCATGGCGCAAAGAATGGGTTTGCACCGAGAGCGCCAGTCAAGCGATGAGCATGTTGAAGAAGCCGAAGAACGGAGACTGCTTTTCTGGACCATCTTCATACTGGACAAAGCCATCGCTTTCACCCTTGGCCGGGCCTACATGCTCCCAAGCTTTGATTGCAGCACCCCAACCCCAGATATGTCGCTCCACAGTGTCCCTGTGGAAGGGCTATCGGCGAGGATTGGCGTGGCGCTCATCCAAGAACGCGCGTATCAAGTCCTGTTAGCCTCGGGGAACACCCACAATAATCGGACTCGTCAGGAAGCCATTACCAAAGTGGTAGACCAATTAGATTGTTGGATGGAAACCCATTTTTCGTCGTCCGAATTTTCGGCTAACATTATGCCGGGGGCATGGGACTCTATGACCCAGCGGGCGCTGTTATATGAATACTACACAACGCGTGCCGTTGTTCTCGCCCATAGTATGTTTCCCAATGCGCCCAACGAGGTGCTGGCCAGCGCGCGGGATGCCCTCTCCCAATTGTGCCCTCCCGCGCCCCAGGGGAGAACACTTTTCTCCGATTCTCGTCGCAATTGGTAAGAATTTCCCTGTTCCCGTTCATATCCTTGCTTGGTTTGTGACATATTTAGGCCCAAGGGGAGTTATAGTCTATTTCCTTTCTTTATCATCACCAAGCATATTCTGCTGGCAGCACAAGATGCGCCGGACCGCAGGGACTGGATCAAATTTCTCTACGACACCATCTCCTGCTGGGAATCCAGTCACAGCCTTCGCCTTAGTATCGCACTAGTAAAAGTCGTTCTGCCCCGGTCTGATGTGGTCGGGTATCACAGGGATCCGCTCTCAATTGAAAGTCCGTTCTGGAACAGTGCTGGGAAGTCACCCCGGATGGACTCTGGTAATACTTGGGCTTCTTCGCTACCTTTATCCTGTGTCGGGCAAGAGCAGAGGGACCATGACCAGTCAGTCATGGATCTATCCCTCGACCCCATTCTGTCTGTGACTGGTGCTCCGTTATGTCCCGAAATCATGGGTCAGGCTGGGGGCGACCCTTTTTCATTCGTTGGCGCTGTGAGCCACCCCGAGACTATCGATTCCAACCTGGATGCGATTGACTCATGTCTAGTGGCGTCATCCCCACATGATACATTGCGACTACCGGGACTGACACGGTAATTGGTGTTCCTATGTTCTATCAGATCCGTTAAAGAGTATAGTGATTTTTGCATTTCTTGAACCCGGATATGTAGAATCAAGGGCTAGAAGGCATGAATGTTCACCTTTTCTATTACATCATATTTAGATAAACGAAATGAGAAACGAAAATCGTAATTATTGCGTGTCATGCTGACCATATACGCCTGTGATATGCGCTGTACTGAACCCCATGGCAAGACAGAGGCATCATTTGCTGCAACAGTACCTTTTGAGAAGGCCGTACGGACGGACCTGTTGTCGGCTAAAGGTACCCTGTAAACATGGTTGTGATGCGACGCGGGCCCGTTCCGGATCTCATCAGGGCGACAGGACGGAACCCTTCACCACCGGGCTCATATCATGAATTGGCTAGCTGATTTGCTTCAACAGCCCATTGAGGACGTTTTCAGCGCCGGGATTGAGGCGGTAGCACACCTCATATTCGTTGGGCTCTTGCATCATCCCTACCGGCATTCGTTGCCCGCCCGCCGGCGCCCGGGACTTCTGTTCTCGGGCCACCATGCCAGTGACCAGTTCGTACGCCAAATTTGCCGCCTGCAAGGTGATACACTCAGTTAATCACGGAGGTTCATGCCTGGGGTCATGACAGAATGACTGCTGCTTTCATTGGGAAAGGAACGTACCAAATATGCAGTTTCACCCCCTGGAGTGTCGTAGGCCGGGGCCACCTCGACGATGTCAGCTCCGACAATGTTGAGATCCATGACACCCCGCAAGATCTTGATCATCTCTCGCGTGGTCCAACCACCTGGTTCAGGGGCTCCCGTTCCTATCAATATCGCGCAAATTAACCATCAACGGCCTGGCATACTCGGGATGGAAGGAGAAGGGGCCATCTAAGGTAAACCTACCCGGGGCAAACGCGGGATCCAATACATCGATGTCAATGCTCATGTAGACTGGCTGATCCTTCGGGATATGCTGATGAATGCGATCGACGATGCCAGCCGCGCCAATCGTGTCAACCTCGTCGGCGGCAATGCGCAGGAAACCCTGGTTGTCGTCGTCTTCTAGGTCCTGGAAGGAATTCCCACTCAGACGGGTGTTGATACCGGCATGTAGAGATGAGGAGTTCGAGATTAAGCCCTCCTTCATGGCATTCCAGAAGACGGAGCCGTGGTTAAACTGAGATTGCATGGAAGTCCAAGCTGAGGGGTACCGATCGGGATGCAGCGAGTCAAGGTGGGAATCGAAATGCAAGAGAGCCACGGGCTCGCCGTACTGTTCGCGAAGAGCTCGGAGGGCGGGAAGCGCCACGAGATGATCTCCACCGAGGGTGATGAGCTTGGGCTTGCCCGTCCCGGTGGTTGTCCTCCGGGAGCCCAGCTCCCGGTAGGCCTCGGTCATTTGATGAACGGCGACGGCGTTGTCAAATGGAGTGACGGGGATATCACCGCAGTCCAGCACGCGTGCCCATGACTGATATGGATTGATTTGGGCTGCGGCATGAAAGGCGCGCGATGGGATATGGCGAGCAGAGGCGGTGCGAATGGCACGCGGGCCCATGCGCGCACCTATTAGTGTGGGGGAAAAAATTATTATCAGACGGTGTTCATCAATAATAGTGAATCCTATAACAAGGGCAGAATTTACCAGGTCGATAGCTCACGGCCGTGTCGAATGGCGTGCCAATAATCCCGATGTCAAATGGCGTGTCGGGATTGGTGAGACAATGGACATGCTCCAAGTGGCCAAAAGTAGTAATGCCTGAAAATGCCCACTAAACAGAAGTTCGATTAATAAACAAAATTAAGCTCATCTCCGTCGATCACAATTCTGCTTGGGTTCGTGCCTCAATGGCCTTCAACTTACATCTTCACCCCAACGTTCCTTGAGCTCCTGCACGTGAGCTGGAGATGCTTGGGTGGCGGAGGCGCCTCCAACAAGACCCCCAAAAATGGAGCACCACAGAGAGTAACGCATTATTGAGACCAAGGTATTTTGGTGGGTGACAACAACAATGTGTAGGGTTGTAATTGGGGAATAGGTGGGGAGGGAGGGTCGCGTAGGGTTTGGGTGGTTTGGCCAATCGATTTATAGCGACATACCTCGCCCTCTCCGAATGCGTCTCCAGCCTCGAGGGCCTCCATACTCGGCCCGCCCGATGACGCCCTTGCATGCACGGGGCCGTCATAGATCGCCCACCGACCAATTAATGGTCGGAGGCCCCCGGGGTGTGCATCTGCCTCCTGCACCTTTCGGAGACACTAGGAGGGTCCCGTTTACAAATCGACTCCCGGTACCCTCCCTTGCTTGCTGGCCCTAGTGAATGCGCTCTCCTCCTTCCACCTCTTGCTCTTTCTCCATCCTTCCTCCATCTCCGGTTTGCTTTGGTTCTTGGACTTCTTCGATGCTTCGCAATTAGTCTCCCGAAGTCAGTCTCTTTGGTCACGGTGGCTGTACAACCCGGCCTTTTCCTTACTGTTACGTTTTCACGGGTTACCCCCCGTACCACCTAGCTAGGATGGGCGACATATACTCGGAAGCCGAGTTGGAGCGACTTGGTCGCATGAGGCCGACCATCTTCCCCAATTTGCTATCGGAACTTGGGTTTTGCTTCTCCCTCGTGCTCTCGCAAATTATGGCAGTAAGCTCATTACGATATCCCCTGTCTAGTCGGTGTAGATAGCCGTCGTGGGCGGACTTCTGGGCTAACCTTCATCAGGAATACTTTATCTCTGGTTTCAATGTTCTGTTGCCCTCTTTGGCCGAGGGACTGGACATTCCGGAAGCCTCTTCTAGCTGGCCGTCGAGTGCTTTTGCCCTGACGGCGGGTGGCTCGTTGCTCTTCTTCGGCCGTCTGGCCGATCGCTATGGAGGGTTTGTAGTCTTCGCGGGAGGCTTGGCCTGGCATCTGGTCTGGTCGCTTGTGGCCGGTTTCGCGAAGAACGCCCTTATGATGTATTTCTGTCGAGCGCTACAGGGCTTTGGCCCTGCTGCCTTTCTCTCGGCAGGGATCATGCTTTTGGGCACTACCTACCGCCCGGGATGGCGGAAAAACTTGGTATTCAGCATCTACGGCGCCTGCGCTCCCATCGGCTTTGTTGCAGGGATTTTCGTATCCGGCATGACCGGGCAATTTCTTGACTGGCGCTGGTACTTCTGGATCGGGACGATGCTGCTCTTCCTTGCCCTGATTGCAGCTGTGCTCTCTGTCCCAGCCAGCATCCGCCGCAAGCCTCCGCATCCTGACATGCCTATCGATTGGGCTGGAGCCGGTCTTTTCTTCTGCAGTCTTGTGCTGATATTTTTTGCTATCAATGATTGCGGTCATGCACCCGACGGCTGGCGCACTCCCTACGTGTATGTGACGTTGATTGTGGGCTTTTTTCTGCTGCTGGCTGCACTGTACGTCGAAGGTTGGGTGGCCAAGGAGCCGCTGCTTCCTCTTAGTCTCTTCCGCATCCCCCAATTATCGTCCCTCCTCCTCGGTCTGTTCTGTTTCTACGGCGTGTTTGGCATCTGGCTGCTGTACTGTGTGGAGTACATGGAGAACATCATGCATGCCTCGCCGCTGCTCGTGGTGGCGTACTTTGTACCTTTCGCGCTAGGTGGCATCTTCTTCAGTCTGATTGGGGGCTTATTCCTGCATGTTCTTCCGGGTACGGTTCTTCTGGTAATCTCCGGGATTGGATGGCTAATGGCACCACTGCTGTTCGCCATCATGCCGCTCGGGGCTAGCTACTGGCCTTATGTGTTCCCGGCCATGATCTGCGGCACCTTGGGCATGGATGTCACCTACAATGTCACTAATATCTTCGTGACCACCTCTCTTCCCGAGCGACAACAAGGGCTGGCTGCTGCCGTCGCCAACAGCGTTCTGTTCCTGGGCATCAGTTTTTGGCTGGGGTGGGGTGACTTTACCTCGGCGCAGGTCCATGGAGACTTGCGCGCGAGATACCAGGCCGCACTCTGGATGGCGGTGGGGCTGGCCGGCTTGGGACTGATAATTATGGTGCTCTTCGTGAAGATCAAGCCCGCCAAGAGTGAAGTGACTGTGGATGAGAAGGAGGGGGGCTCGGCAGGTTCGGCAGGCTCGGGAGGCACGGGAGACACGGAGCTGATGCCGAAGCAGGAGACAGACATTGGAGTAAATGGACGGGATGGGAATGACCTTCAATAATTGTGACAGGACTCCTCCATTCTGATTATAGGCTGTGATTGACTCGCATATGCCAATCATAACTTCACCCCAAGAACATTTGTTCTATGTAATAGATCATGATGGAAAGGTCTTGTGTTGGAAGAAACAGAACCCTCTTAGAGTTATAATATAGATATAGTCTACCTCGCACTCTTAGGAACGTTTTATCAAACTTTGGCACACCTTGGCATACATTTTTGTACGGTGCGTATCAGATTCTGACAATATTAAACCCTATTCTCCAGGTGGTTGTGTATTCATAAGATGAGTATTTGAGAAACCCAACAACAGGAAAGTATCTGTGATATAGCAACATATATATTATAACAAAACAAACATCCAATCAAATGGGACTATCATCCATAGTATTTATTGATAAGTGTGGTAATTGTATGATTATGCATTCTCAGAATTATATATAGATCTACTTCAACTATATTTTGACAACAAATGTTTCCATGATTTATATTGAGCTAACTGCTTAACTGTTTCATACAAGCCTGGATCCATTATTTACTGTCTAACTCAAAATGTATATCACCTATAAATTTTACTTCCTTATTTCATTGCAGGCAGTTGGCTTGCTTTCCACAGTTATCCTGGTTCATTATAAAGTCAGTGATATATACACGGGCAAGATGTTCGGAGCCTGTAGAAATACCCGCCAGGTAGGTCCAAATGCTTCGTATCTTAGAGTTTAGAAAACTCAAGCAGTTTCGGAGAACAATAACCTTACCAAGCACTCAAGAGATATTTCTCCAAGCTTGTAGTTTTTCTTTTGAACATAAGCATAACGGCTAATGTCATGAAATACTCAGTCACACTTTATATTAGATACTCCAGACACTAAATTACTACCTCGGAACTCAAGTCGAAATACCTCGGAATATAACAGTACTACGTTCAACAGAGAACTAGATATAAGCTGAGGTGAAGTATGTTGCGGTCTCTCCCTTGGTGCGCTTTTAGAGATGGAACGTCTGCCTTCCAGCCCATTCGGCAAAACACCCCGTTTGCTCCTTAGGTCCTTTCCACCCGACTCTTAAGGGCCGTCACGAAGTAGGGTAGTTACGTATACAGTCAATGATATTATCATCAAGTTGAGGTTTCTGTACATCTATTTATATTGTTATTTATATTGTAATGACGTACATTATGCATTTCCAAAGGCATGTTCTTTCTCTGGTACCTACTACTTACAACACGGATGGCGACCGGGGCGGGCGGACGGGCGAGCATAGACGCGATTGCCGGCAGATACAAAGACCATAATATTATGATATATTGAAACAGAAACCTACGTACTATTGCCACTTGCTCTTATTTCTGTTACTAAAGAATACTACTTGTGCAGCTTTCAACATACCACGCTCCGCAAGGGATTGCCCTGACTAAGAGACACGGTGAAGAATGCTGTGTCCGTGCTGCACATCTCGGTCTGACACGGATGGCGAAGATCATCCCCCCACACTGAATTGCTTGGTATCTGCAGGGCTCGGAGTGGGGCCGAATTTGAATACAGTGCTGACTCTCTCGTCAACCACTGCAAGGGAGTCAGAGAAAGGAGTTCGGTCTTTTCCGTAGTCGGAGGTACCGAACTATCAACACTTATAAAGTATTCTTTCAAATGTGGCAAGCATCATCTCAACACAAATCCCTCCCAAGCAAACAACCCTCATCTATCCATCCCTTGCAAATCCACCACCACCACTACCACCATGACCAACACTCAGTTCGGCGAAGAATGCGACATTGTCGCCGTCCTTACCCCTAAGCCGGGCAAGTTGGACCGAGTGCGTTCCCCTTCACGGTCTCTGCAGGCATCTGATCTGGTACCCTGGGTCTTTTCAATTTGCTGACTTGATATTGAACGTAGGTGGCTGAGCTCCTCACCAAACTCACCGCATGTGTCAAGAAGAATGAACCCGGGGTTTTGAGCTTTCACCTGTACAAGGACTTTGACAGGGAGACCGGTCAAGAAGAGCTCGTTTTGGTCGAGAAGTAGGATTCTCTCCATCTCTCACATCAAGTGACCCGGTCGCACTCATGCTGACTCTACTAGATACGTCAACAAAGAGGCGTATGATCTCCATGCGGAACTGCCCGACTTCCAAGCCATGCATGCTACCTTTCGTGCTGAGGAGCTCATGGCCAAACCCATCTTGATCAAGAGTGTGAAACCATTGGTGGGGTTTGAGCGCAGCTAGGTGAATGGCTGCCGCTCATGCATAGTTCGGAGGGTGTCTCCGGCAGTAGTACAGAGGTAGATAGATATAAATACTATCGCCCACTTCCCAAAAATTTTCAATCTCGTGTAGAAAAAGCTCCGGACACTAGCTACCCTCAATTTTCGTTCTACATTCCTATCTCATATTCCAATCTCAGTACCGAATAGTGGACTTTCTGTCAAGAGCATAGTCACAACCATGAACATCCGCACAGTTGTTGAAGCATTCTGCGCCGACTTCGCCAATGGTACTCATCCTACCACCATCCTCGACACGCGCTTCACTGGCAATCCTGAAATCTACGAGTACGGCCCCGACTGGGCGCGTTCCCGACTTCCCTACCTGGGACGGTCCTGGACTGGAAGACGATCTTCATCTTCACCGTCGTCCGAGGAAGACACCACCTGTGATGCCTACTTCGATGTTCTTGGACAGACGCTTTTCTTCGAGCCAGACCACCGAGAGCCGACGTCGCCGCCCGATCAGTTCTTGGTCTCAGCATCAAATGGAAGTGACGATGCTGTCATGGTCAAACTGACCTCCACAGTGGGAAGCATCGCAACTGGGAAGAAGTGGGTGGAGACATTTGTATTCTTGTTTG